GAGAAGCGTTGGAAAATAAATCGGGATTTAAAGTCAGCATCAGTGACTGGTTCAGACTCTGTAGCTCTTGTTCGAGAAAAGTGGTGCTTGTTTCACTGAGCTTCTTCAGCTCTGACTGACCACAGGCTCAAGGGCTGCTACAGCAGCATCTTCCTTATTCCTCCCAGACCACTGCAAACTGCTCATCCCCCAAGTAGCCATTTCCTCTTTGCTTTGAAGGAAGAAGGCAGGGAAGGAAACGGGGGAGAAGAAACCCTCACACGAGCAGGGGAAGCTTTGGGCAGTATCTGCTGCAACTGCCCGGGGCGCTCGCCCCAAGACACTGCCACATTGGGGCCTCCTCCAGCTCCAGCTCCACGCGGAGCACCCGTGCGTTCCCCGGAACACGGGGCAGGATAAGGCAGGACGAGAAGGGCAGGGCCGAAGGGATCCACGAGCGCCTGGGGATGCCGCGCGGGCTCCAACCGCGCTGCACGTGCGGCTAAAACCGCCACCAAGCTCTGCAGGGAACGGCACGCCAAGCTTAAAGGGTGTTTTTGAGGGGGGTTTGTTGTTGTTGCTCTTTTTAAATACCATCCTAACTAAACTCGCATCCAGCTTTCCTGTGCATTAGTGCTAGAGGCCAATTACACACAAGTGAAACCATAGCGCAATGCTGTTGCAAGGCGGCAAGAGAAAAGGAAAGAGCCAGGATTTAATGAAAAAGCAGCAAAATGCTGCTCTCACTGGACTAGTGCAAAGCTGACTATTTAACCGGTTTATCATTTAAAGCGCTGTTTAGGTCTTCAAGTGCATTTGTCTGGAAAATAACTGCGGTGCATTTCAGTTGAGCGATGTCTCTGTGCACACTAACAGCTCAGGTCAGCGAGAGCTCTTCCCACATGTAATTAATTTGTGGATTTGCATCTATATAATACAATGGCAGCAGGACCCAAAAGCCAGCAGCAAATCCTGCAGATTATTCTGCAAAAGCAACTAATGTTCAAGCTACCATTGATGAAATAACTCCAGATCAAGCTACAAACATCTTATTGCCACTTACAAATCTGTAACTTGCAAGTTTGGCACCACACCAGAAACACGGATGAGAAGTTGTTGTTACCAGTAAACAAAACTATCCCTTGGAGCTGGTTTCAGAAAGCTCACGAGGTAACTTAATGCTGCTCTGCTCAGCAATTGCACAACATCATCCAGAGATGTTGATGGATAAATATCCTTGAAATAAATGTTGCCATATCTAAAATCTAGAACAGA